AAACGATGTACAAATGCGCTTTACACAATTGATGTGTGTATGGATTGGGATAACAGTTGTATGAGCCCCTAATAAAATGTTAAAAAAAAAAATTCAGGATTAAAAGTATAATCTTAATAAATAAATAAACAAAAGTACCATCTTCCCATTGTTCCATACACATAAAGGATCTCTGACGAAATTGGATGCTCCCATTTTGATTTCAGGAAACAGTCACTGCATTTGTTCACTCAGTCAACAAATATTGAGTCCTGCTATATGGAGAAAGTGGCAACTCCTCGAGTCATGATGCTGATGTTCTGGTAAGAATACTCTGACTATATACACCAAGAAACCAGCTCATTTCAGAAAGTTGATACAAGCAGTTCAGGAAAGCCCAGGGTGATGTGAGAGAGCTTCTCAGGAAGAGACCTGCTTTAGGTCGGGTGGTCAGAGAAGGCTTCTCTGAAGGGATGACATATGAACTGACACCTGAATGATGGGAAGGCATCAGCCATGCAAAATTCTTAGTGAAGAAAGTCATGAGTTGAAGGAACAGCAAATAGAGCATTAGCAGCAAAGAATAGTATTACATAACATGGGCATGTGTTAACTATGTCACAGGCGCTGCTCAAATGCTTTACAAATGGAAATCATTTCATTCTCACAAGAATCCCATGAAGCAGATAATAGCCCTTTATTTCCAGAGAGGAACATTAACACAAAAAAACAATAAAACAAAAACAAACTCACTGCCATTGAGTTCAATCTCACTCATAGTGAGCCTATAGGACAGATTAAACCATCCCTGCTGGTTTTCATGATTATAAATCTTTACAACAGTAGATAGCCTCATCTTTCTGCCAAGGACTGGCGGATGGTTTCGTACTACTGACCTTGAGATGAGCAGCCCAACGAGGAAGAGCTCCGAAGGGAGGTTTTAGGACTTGCCTAACCTAGTAAATGGCAGGTCCAGTATTCAAATCGAGGGAAGCTTGCTACAAAGTTTACATATTAACCATATAGGGAAGAGGTGTTCAAAGAATAAAAGAATGCATCCTTAAGAATCAGAATTTGCCTAACATGCACTGAAAAGGCTTACAAGGCAACCTGGGAAATTAAGAGCTCTGCCACTGAAACTCACCCAGCACCTCAGTGGAAGAAACACCTGGCACTCTGCTCCCTCAAAGAAGACAGCTGAGAAAGCCCAATGCGGCCATTCTATTCTGTCACACCAGGTAGTCAGCCCGGCGCATAACAAGCAAAACAACAGGGATTTATGAAGTTGATCCAGTAGTTTGGCTTCAGGAGAGCAGGTCAGATGGAACCATAAAAGGATTCACTTCATGCTAAATTAGATTTAAAACATGAAATTTTGATCTTCGGAGCTACAGGGTGCAATTGAACTGAGCTTCCGCACTTCACTTTTACCTAAGATTCTGAGGAGTCAGAAGAAAAAACAAGAAAACAAGGCAGGAAATACCAGCATGTAGGAATATTAGCCCTCCTCATAAACAATGACCATAAATCCAGGTTTCTATCATCTACCTAAAGAGCTCTCCAAGAAAAACAATCTGATTAAATGAGATAAGCATGAAGAAGCTGGCAACGTCATCAGTACAGTCAGTTCAGAGGTGGAATCATCATTCCTCATTTCCCTGGAATTTTTTTTATCTGCAGTACTACTTCTTGATTAGAATAAGAAGAGCAGACGCAGAAGTAGCGTCTTTTATCTAAAGGAAAAGACAAACTGCAAAATGCCTGCAAACGTGAATTCCTCATCTTCATGACTTTATACAACGAGGAGTAGAAAAGTCTGTTCAATCCCTTTTAAGGAGAAAAAAAGACAGCGGTTGAGCTCTAAATATGATTTGTTCATCCCTCTCCATTCTAGATTACCCTCTAGTCCTTTTCAGTTGTTTCATATCATTCAGTATTCTCTTCTCAATATACGTACATATGGAGTAGCTGTTACGAGTTGGGCTGTGATCCTCAAGGCCAGCCTCTCCTCAGGAGAAAGATGGGGCTTCTTATTCTCATAAACAGTTATGGTTTTGGAAATTCACCAGGGAGTTCTATCCTGTCCTATTGGGTAACTATGAGTTAGCTCCAACTCAATGGCAGTGAGTAAGATGGAAGTATAGACACTTCAGTCAATGACCCTTACAAAGCCAGGTAGAGAGAGAACTTGGAACTGGGATAAGAGATGAAAGAGTGCTTGCTACCCAGTTTGCAGAAAGCTGTAGATGACAGTGAAAGCCCAAAATCCATTTGCAGAGTCTCCATGGGGATGAAGCCTCCATTGAATTCCCTTGGACCCCTGACCAGGGATTTAAATAGCCTTGCCCTCAAACATCACAAAGTAAATGAATGAACGCAGATGTAGCTAGATTATATTTTAATATCTCATCACTTGCTTTCCCTTTTGATCCCACTTTTATTTCATTCTAGTTTTTATTATTTTCTGCTTTCTTTTAGATTGTGGCTTTTCTGTGTTTCATTTTGTTATTGTTGTTGTTGTTTTTGTAGGATTATCTTTATATGAAGTCCAAGATGGATAAATCTACAGAGACAGTAACTAGATTAATAGTTTCTTAGGGTTATGGCAGGGGAGGCTAGGGAAAATGGGGGTGGTAATGATAATGAGCACAAAAATGATGCAAATATTCTAAAATTGATTTTCATGATCATTTACACAACTTTACAAAATATATTAAAACATTGGACTGGATGATATGTGAATTATATGTCAATAAAACTATTTAAGGCAAAGGAGTATTAAGTTGGAAGACATCGAGCAGATCTTTTTCATTATACCCACTGGGAACAAGGCTCTGCAAGATTCAAAAGTCTGCAATGGACTCACTGAGCCAAGAGAGAAAGCTGTGGCAGTCCACTTCCGTAAAGTCTCCAGCTTTGGGACCCTCCTAGTTAGAAAGCTGCTATAAGTCAGAATTGACTTGATGGCACTGGGAACCTAGAGTTAGGTGGCTTCTCGGTTATGGCATGGTGAATTGATTTCTGTCCATCCCTACTTTAGTCACCAAAGAACATTTCAGCTTGGAATCTGGTCAAATGCCACACACAACCCCTGGATTCAATTTCCCTATCTGACAACCACTGAGATAAGCCAAGGACAACACTTGGGACATAAAATGGTTCTGCAGTTCCAAAATTCCAGACCAAGATGTAAGCCCCTCAGTGTCAGCTCTTCCAATTGGCTCTTGTCACTTCCACCAACCTCCCTTTGAACTACAAATTCCCTTCACCACCATCTGCCCACCTTCCACATATATTTTTACCTCGTCCTGTAAGGTCCCTTCTTTCTCTCTCTGTTTCTCTCTGGGATAACTGAAGTTGACAACTATTCCTTGGGGAATTTTAGAATAGTAACTCTGGTCGTTAGTATAGCCGGGCTCAGAATAATAGGCCATTAGTTAGCAACCAGGAGTCCAGTTAGAAAGGTGTTTTATAGTATTAACTCTTAAGGCATGCCCCGAACCAAATCCACTGCTATCAAGTCGTAGTGATACTACAGCACATAAGGCTGTTACAGCAGCTGAGGAGTCTATCTAAATCAGCTGTTGCAAATTCAAGGTTATTCCTATATAATATCACTAGCATTCAGGCTCCTAAGATTTGCCTGAAACCAATACTGCTCCCTCTCCCTGGCCAACCTAGAATTCCTTAGACACTCACAAGGTTCCTTTGCATGGCACTTAAAACGCTGGGTTGAACATCTTGTCAGTTCCAACTCATTGTGGCCTGATAGGACAGAGTAGAACTGCCCCTGTGGGTTTCTGAGACTTTACCTCTTTATAGGAGTAGAACGCTGTTTTGAAAGGCAGATCTTATGGATCACAGCCCAATGCATAATAATACAGCCAATGCAATCAAGTCTGGGTTGGCACTAGAGACACACAGTTTAAACATGATTTGACACAGAATATAAACCCAAAGCATTCTGGAAACAGATCAACCTACAGCATTCATACTATCTTTACGTCTTTGCCCATCATTCATTCCCTTTCCTGTATCACCAACCTCTTTTTCCCATTGGTGTCGTTCCCACCTTCTAAACCAGTGCTGAAGTCACCTGTATCATTTCATTTGATACTCAAGCTAAACCCATAATGTAGGGTGATACCATTATCCTCATTAAAAGTGAGAGTCACAGAATGAAGGGCATTACCAAAGGCCAGGCACCACTAGTAAACAACCAGGGCCAAGACTCCAGCCTGGATCTGTTTCACACCAAAGTCCATATTTATAGACACACTGCTAATGTTGCCTTCTTATCTAACTCAGGCAAGCGACAATTGCAGGAATTTTCCTATTATCCTGTCCTTTGAGGTAATGGAGGATGACTGTCTATATTATCCATGCAATACTCTTCCCTGTACCAGGAGATTCATTTCTTCTTAAAATTAGACACAGCTGGTTTAGTCTTTAGACTATAGTTAGTAGATCTTTAATTAAATCAGCAAGACCTGGAAAAATTTATTCAGCGCCTACTAGGTGCCCATTCTGTGTTGCAGGCACTCAATATAAGCTCTTGGCTTAAAGTGGAAGGAATCTATAAATATGGAATATAAGATAGTAAGCAGTAGTGGAAGTGAACAAATGTATACTATTCACTTTCATGTTCACCATATTCTGGAAAGTTAAAAGACAGAGGCTGTCATCATTTACCTTGGGGAAGTACTGTTGAGAGATTTACTACCTGCATAACATAGTCATATCTAAGGAAAGGAAAAAGAAGGCTTGGGTATCTCTCTTACTCATATAGTCAACTGATGTGATCTTGAATTGCGGTATTCAGAGCAGCTGCTCAAAGTCTGGCCGCAGCTGGGCAAAAGTCATTAACGTCAAGAGAGAAATATTTTCTAAGCACCCCAACAGCTGTGCCAATCACATTTGGAGGCAGCCAGATGTGTTCAGTGCACGTGTGAGCTAGCATCAAGAGTCCTTACCCAACTGCTAAATAACCCCATCTCAAGAGATCTATCCCATCTTCATTCACTTGATTTGCTAGGGTCCTCATTCTTGCCAGTATGCTTTCAGTCACACCAGTATCCAGCTGAAAATCTCATTTTTCCATTCTGTTCAACTGAGATTCTTCTCCACATGAAGCTGCCAGCCAATTAATACACTATCCACTATGTGCATAATGCTTTTAGGAACACAAGAACATATCTCTGTCCGCCAGGAACTTGCTAGTGGCTGACATTCCAGAAACCAGAAGAACCCACATTAAGAGGATCAGTAGAATTTACTGGCTTCAACTGGGATGTGGCAAGGCCCTTGATGCAAGGGAGGAGCA